TTTGTTTTTGTTTTCCATCATTTTTTTTATTTTCCAATACCATAGTGTATTGACTGCATTACACTATTACACGTTTAAATTACTCCCTTCCACATATCGAAAAATGATGATTTATTTCAAGTATTATGCTGTAGTGGTGATATGGAATGTTTCATTTTTTTGCTAGGCGAACATAATAAAGCTATGTAGTTTAGATGAGCTATCCACAATATATTGCCATTATTCCCCATCATTTTGCTTCAATTAATATCAAAAAATTTAATAAAACTTGAAAAAAAAATCGTCCGACCGATCGCAATAGGTTGCTCCGCAACGCAAAAAAAGGGTCCTCGCTTTGCCAGTGGCGTGAGCAAAAAAGGACCGGGTGTTTTATGCTCCAGGGACCTCGCCTCTGAACCTGAAACACACTTCTTTCTTTGTGTAGTACTTTAAACATTTACGGGACGTTTGCGGTACCATTCAACATTTCTCTCAACGGAAAAAAAAAAGCTAAAATCCATTCGGGACCAAAATCTTTTATGGATGGCATCAACCCTAAACACGCGGCCCTTTTGTGAGTTTAGGGTTGATGCCACCCCGAGTCACATGCGGTGCCCCTATGGGTTTTAGTTTTTTTTGTGTGACCTAATACAGAATATTGAATTCGTCTAAAGGTCCCACCACAGGGTTACGACACGAAGCGCCCCCATGAACCTGCAAATTTGTGACCCAGTGATGTGTGCGTATTGTATGACGAATGAGATCTAGCACAGGCTCGGAAACGAGGTCTCGGGGCAACAAGCTGCCGGACCTTTTTTGCTCACGCCTCTAGTGAAGGGAGGACCCTTTTTATCATTTCCCCTCGGCAGGCAGCACCACCTCCGGGGTGCTGCCAGCTGGCAGCTGGATTCTCTCCGCATGCTGCGCCCAAGTGTGGCTCCCTCCCGCCCATCCATCACTCCCAAGCAGGGCTCACGCTAAGCCTTTTTGGAGCTCTGTTTCTCCCGGATTCCCTACCCCCCTGCACCCTGATTCGTCCGGATTTCAGGGTAGTTGATTTCTGTTTCATCCGGATTCGGGTACAAAGTTACTTTTGGCCGAGTTACAGCAAATATTGACTCGGACATGTCACGATGTTCAGGATCGAAACAGGGTAACATTTGCGGCGTGCAAAAAAAAAAAGTACTTTTGGATTTGCTACGTTAAGAGTGTTGATTTCTTCCGCCAGTTTGTATGACAAACCCGCTAAAGTAGGGTAGAATCTGTGTCAGCAACCTTCACAACTTTCTGGGTTGCGAGAAGGGGAAAGAGGGGAACGTAGCTAAACGTTTTTAGCCAAGTCTTCCTAGCTGCGTAGGCGTGCGGGGCTGTAGGAGGAATTTGCCAGTCTGTGAGGGACGCAAAATATTATAGGTTTAGGGTGGCCCGGGTGGGAGGAGTCTCTGTGTGTAAAACTCTCTAGGTGTAAGGGAGACTTAGCCAAATTCTCTATGTTATAGGGTAAAGGCAGGAATGTTCATGCAATGAGGACTAGCCGAAATTTTGAAGTTTCGTGGGTGTGGGTAGGAGGCCTATCTCTATTTGGGAGGGACTTTGCCGAATTCCACTATGCTCCTGGCTGTGACAAACTTAGCCGAAAATTCTGGGTTTCGGGTGGTGCGGGTGAGAGGAGTACGGTATGTCTGTGTGGGGGACTTCGCCATTTTTGCTTGGTTGCGGGGTTAAAGCCCGCCCAGCAGGTTGCATATTTGTCTTGTTTAGGTGGGTGGGACGGCAGAACCTGATTGGATAACGAAGGATTCTTCAAACGAAATAGCTGGCGAGCACTAGGCTTCTCAGAGCCAGCGTTCGTTTCGTGCAAGCTAGCGGGGATGGAAACTTGGCATGCTGGAAGTTGGGGACTTCGCCGAATTTTCTGAGTTGTGCGGGTATGGGGGGAGTTATAACTGTGTGTGAGGGACTTAGCCGAATTTCCTGGGTTCGGGGGCTCCGTGCGATTGTTTCTGAAAGTTGGGGACTTCGCCGGTAAAATGTCTCTTCCACCCTGGGTGCGGGGAGGGGGGAAGGGGAGGGGGGGAGGGGGGGGGGGGGGATGCATTTATTGGCAGTTGCAGCCGGATTGCCCCCCCAGAGAATTCTGATCTGCCCGGAGCCACCCGTAATGCCACTTCTATAAATTCCGGAAACCCCGATAACTCGACCCGTTCAAATTCCGGAACGAGCCCAGCGCCAGCGCTTAATTTTTTTCATTCCGGGTAATTACCCTTGAAAAATAGGCCCTGCTCCCAAGCCACCGTCGCAGTGCCCCGCGCAACCCGGAGTTCCCTTCCCTTGCCTACCCTCCCCCGGTCTCCCCCCCCGTCCTCACTCAGCTGCTGCTGGGAGGATGCGGTGGTGCAGTGCAGTGCTGCTTGGTTGCTGCTGCTTCCCGCGCAACTAGCCCAGGGCTGCGCCAACCTACTTTATCCTCCGTTTCACCGTCACTCCCCGCACACTTCACCGCCTAGCTCTCCTTCCCTCAGGGTCGCCTCCTCCCCCCCCCCCCCCCCTCTTGAATAATCCCTCTCCTTGCGTTCCCTCGTCGTCCCGCCATGGCGGGGAACCTGCCGTACTTGCCGCCGCCGAAGACGGCTCTGAGCGCGGAGCCGGTGTGCGTGTTCGGTGAGGAGTACTGCCTGCCGCACGAGACGGCGCTGCTTGTGCGCTCGCGCAAGTGGAAGATGTCGGACGAGTTCGAGGTCACGGACGTCGAGGGCCGCCTGCACTTCAAGGTCGAGGACAAGTGAGTTTTGAGTCGACTCAAAAGTCATTTCGAGGTCACTGACGCGGACGGCCGCCTGCATTCTGCAAGGCCGAGGACAAGTGAGTGTGGCTGCGGCGAGTAATGCGTGCAATGCGCTAGGAAGGAGTGCGAAAGGGTGGAAAACTGCCTGGGTCCCGCGAGTGGAAGATCGCGGACGAGTTCGAGGTCACTGACGTGTAGCGCCGCCTGCACTTCAAGGTCGAGGACAAGTGAGTGTAGCTGCGGTGGATAACGGCTGTAATGCGGTGCGAAGGAGTGTGACGGAGTGGAAAGGGGGGGGGGGGGGGGGGGAGCGGGGCAGGTGGGGGGCGACGCCAAGACGACCCTGGCGACCAGCGCGGGCCAGGCGGCGACCATGTGCACTCCCATTTCCAGCCCCCAACTTTTCTCCTCCTGTTACCCACCCTCCCTCCCTCCCTGGGCCGCCTACCCGTCCCCTCGCCCTGCAGGCTGATGGAGTGGCGCGACTTAGAAGACGCTGGTGAACAGTGCGGGCAATAGGCGAACACTCCCACCCACCCCACGCGCTCTCCTCCATCCCACCCACCCATCCCTTCCCATCCCTACCCACCCCTTTCTATCCCCCTTGTAGGCTGATGGAGTGGCGCGACAAGAAGACGCTGGTGAACAGTGCGGGCGAGGCAGTGTGCATGGCGGTGGAGAAGACGTTCACGCTGCACAGCGGCACGCACATCATGCGCGGCCGCGACAGCAACACCGACAACTACGTCGTGCGCACGCGCAAGGTGTCCGCGTCGAACCCAAAGATGGAGGTGAGCCGGTGGCAGCGTTGCTACGACCCAGGATGGAGGTGAACGATGGAGGCGAGGAGGATGGCGGAACAGGGTGGGGGGGAGAGGGCGATAAGGACGCACGCGCAAGGTCTCCGCGTCACACCCCAGGAAGGAGGTGAGCCGACATGCAAGACAAGGCAGGTTCTCCTCCTCACCTTAAAAGCAGCGTCTCCCTCTTGTCTGTGTTGCTCTCCCCTATTCTGACCCTTGACACATTTCTCCTCCGTCAACCATGCCCATCGCTCTCCTTGATTCCGCCTTCTCACCTGCGTGCGTGCGTGCGTGCGTGCGTGTGTGCGTGGTGGCAGATATACCTGAGGGACAACAACACCAGCGTGCCTGACCTGGTGGCATACGGCAACTTCAAGAAGCTCGAGTTCAAGGTGACCCCTGCTGCCGGCTCACTCACTGACTCACTCACTCACTCACTCGCTCAGTCACTCACTCACTCACTCGCTCAGTCATTCAGTCACTCACTCAGTCACTCACTCGGTCACTCGCGCATGATGTACTGCAGACATCTGCAGAGGCAGCACCCGCCCATGGCCCCTCACAGCCGCAGACCCTCGACAGAAAAGCTCACCTTCCCTTCTAACCACCATATGCCACACCATTCCTGCACTCCCTGCTACTCACACCTCCTCCAACCTCCCTGCACCTTTGCTCACTCTCCCTCTCCCCCCCGCCTCCTCTCCACCCTGTTCCTATCCCTCCCACCCTTTCCCCCCCCCACATGCCCCTCCGGTGTACAACCCGCGGTGTGTCTTTTGAGACGCCTCAAAACCAACCTGCCCCCGCCAACCACCACAACTGCCCCTCAGGTGTTCAACCCGCGGCGTGTGCCAGTGGCGGAGGTGAGGATGGACCCCTTCGGGCCGCGGTCGTACCACGCGCTGCTGCTGGACGTGAAGGCGCACGTGGACATGGCCCTCATGGTCATGCTCGTTGTTATGGTCACCGAAACCATGATCCCCCCGCCCTCGCCCCCGGACAGCAACAACGACTAGTGCGTTTCACTCCCCTTACTACTGGTCCACCAGCAGCTGCTCGGCTTGTTGCTGCTCGGCTTGTTGCTGCTCGGCTTGTTGCTGCTTGGCTCATTGCTCCTCGCTTTCTTCTCCTCGGCAAATTGCTGCCTAGTGTTCACTCCCTGGAGGAACTCTTGGTGCATACAGTCAGAACTCAGCTTGTCCTTGGTGCATACAGTCAGAACTCAGCCACTAAGGGAACATTCCTACGACCTACGGCAGTTTGGCCTTTCGTCTGTTAGCGCGTATATCCCGAGCCGCGTGGCAGTTTGCCCCAACCTCTCGGCAGAATGCATATTGTACGTGCGACTCCTTGCAACCCTCCACCACATCCAGACAGAACAATCGTAATGGTCCGTTGTGTATGTGCACATTACGATAATCGAACATGCCTTCACAATTTTTGAAACGTCGAAACTGGCTGACTGAAACACCACCAGCAAACCACATTTCTCAAACGTGCAGCATAACAAGTCCCGGGCAGACCGAGTTTCGGTTTCGTGCATTCTTGCTGGTTAGTAGTATCAAGAATTGAAGAAGTGAAATGGTAACTAGTGAGAGAGTACAGGAAGATATACCTAAGAATTGTACCCTCTAAGAAGCGACCCTATACAGTCTACAAAACATAACGACTACACATGTTTGACACACCCCCTAGACTGCATAGGGGAATGTCCTAAACAAGCAGCTCAGGGCGGCACTACTAGTCCAACCTCTGAGACAAGGGTCTGAGAGACCAGTCAGAAGGAGTACAGACAAGGCAAGAACAAGAGCAGGGCGGCACTACTAGTCCAGCCACTGGAAGAGGACACAAGTCCAGTCCGAGTATACGTATAAAGGACAGTACAAAGTCAAGGTCCTAGCAAGTGAGAGGCTACAGGAACTAGACCAAGCTGTACACAGTGCCGCTGATGATCTTTAGGCGCAAGCGCCTTCGTAAAGATATCAGCCGTGTTGGCACCTGAGGCCAAGTGTACTACGCGAGCCTGACGTCGCTGCTGTAGCTCACGCAGGAGGAAGTACCGCAGCTGAATGTGCTTTGCTCTGCCCTCGAGTCGAGGCTCCTGACACAGGAGGATCATGGCCCTGTTGTCAGCGAACAGGACCGGGGCAGAGCTACGCCGCTCACCTAAGTCAGTGAGCAAGAAGGTCAGCCAGCGGAGCTCCTGTGCCGCCATGGCACCGGCGTAGATCTCAGCCTCACAGCTGGACTGAGCAACAGACGAGGAGTGGGTAGCTCTCCACGAGACCGCACCTGAGCCAAGGCTGAAGCAGTAGCCCTGGGTAGACCTGAGTGTCTCAGCGTCGTCTGCCCACGAAGCGTCTGTGTGTCCAGTAAGGACCACTGGCCTGCGTCCTCCTAGCACTAACCCCATGCCCGATGTACTAGCAAGATAACGCAGAACCCTCTTAGCGGCAGACCAGTGCTGCGGTCGGTGTCTGCCTGTGGCCACAAAGCGAGCCAGGATGCTGAGAGGGTATGCGAGATCTGGGCGAGTGCAAGTCATCAGGTACATGAGGCAACCCACCAGCTCTGCGTAGGGGCCGCTGGGCTCTACCAACTCCTCAGACACTGGAGCGGAGAGTCTGTGGTCTATAGGCAGAGGGGTGGGCTGTGCAGAGGAGAACTGAAGGCTGAACCTCTGAAGGACCTGGCGCACCAAGTGTGACTGAGTCAGGGTGATGGTGCGCGCAGCTCTGTCCCTGGAGATCTGCAAGCCAAGGTAACGGCGCAGTTCTCCAAGGTCAGTGCACGTGTGTCTCTTCAGCAGCTTTGCCTTCCCAGAGGCAAGTGCGTCCCTGTCTGCTGTGGCAAAGACCAGGTCGTCGACGTAAACAAGGATGTAGAACGGAGTCTGGCCAGCACGAACGAAGAGTGAAGGGTCTGCGAAAGAACGGAAAGAACTGCAGGTCAGCAAGCGTAGCACGGAGAGTGTCGTGCCACTCACGGGGAGCCTGGCGCAGGCCGTAGACGGGGCGTCGCAGGAGCCACTGGGTCCCAGGAGGGAAGGTGCCAGTAAAGCCCTGAGGACGACGCAAGTAGACCTGCTCGTGTAGGCTGCCCTGAAGGAAGGCAGTGGAGAAGTCGAGGGAGTGGAGCTCGTAGTCACGCTGAGCAGCTAGGTGTAACAGAACCCGAAGAGTAGTCATCTTCGGGGTCGGAGCGAAGGTCTGGAAGAAGTCCACCCCCTCGCGCTGACTGAAGCCTCTAGCGACATAGCGCGCCTTGAAGACAGGCGGCTCTCCAGGAGGGCGCTTCACCTTGAAGAGCCAGCGGCCATCGACTACGTTCACCCCAGGTGGGGGAACTGCGTCGACGAAGGTGCCGGTGGATCTCCAAGATGCCATCTCCTGCTCCATGGCAGCTATCCACTGCGAGGCCCAGGGTCCCGAAGTCGCCTCAGCGTAAGTGCGAGAGGTCGGGATGTCGAAAGCGTCTGGGTCACCCTCAGGGACTAGCAGCATGGAACAGAGATGGGGAGCAGCCTCGGAGAGGAAAGCAAGCTCAAACTGGCGGTCCTCCAGGACGTCACTGCCAAGGGCAGGAGCACCCCCGACAGACGGAGGACAGGCAGGGTCGTAGACCAGAGCGGTGGCGTAGTCAAGGCGGCGGGTAGAGGCGAAGTCAGCGACGGCAGCGACAAGAGCGTCAAGGCACGAGGCCGGAACAGACGGGTCGGTAACGAGAGAGGCAGGGACCCGAGGAACAAGGGGACGAGCGGCACGAAGGTAGTCAGACAGCGGGGGGGGTGCAACAACAAGGGAGGACAGAGGAGGCAACGGCAGAAGGGGAGGACGAGACGCGTGGAAACAAAGCAACATAGGGTGGGAGCGCAAGACAGGCGAGACAGGACGAGCGCGGGAGGGACGGTGAGACCAGACGTGCGACGGAGGAGTCGGGTCAGGAGACAGCGGAGGGGACACAGGAGGGGAGCGAGGGGGGAGACGGGCCGGGGACGAGTCCGGCGGAGGGAAGACAGGGCCGTAGATAGGAAGAGGAGGAGACGGCCGGGGAGGAACCGACGCAGGGTCGGGGGACGGCAGGCCGAGCAGGCGAAGGGCTGACACCGGCGGGGACTGCTGCTGCGGCGGCACAACGGCGACACCGGAACCGCTAGCTGCTCCTCGGCTACCCCCGACACTCTCCACACCAGCACCCCAAGAGGGACCACCCCTAGGGCTACCGGGACGAGCACCCCCAGAGTCAGCGAATGGGTACTGCGACGGCAGCGGCGGCGGCGGCGGCGGCGGCAACGACGGCTGCAGCGGTGGCAGAAGCGGGGGAGGAGGGGACTAGGGAGGGGACGCCAGGGGAGGGGCGGCCGACGAGGACTGCACAGGAGGGCCACTAGAGTCAGAAGACTCCTCAACCGGGTCCACCGACGGAAGGGGGGTGACGTGGGACACACCAGAGGGGGCGGGACGGGGAGGAGGAGGGGCAGGGACTACCGGGGAAGGAGGGACCAGGAACCAGGGGGGAGTAACCGGGGGACCACGGTGGGGGAAGCGACGGTAGTAGGAGACGGACTCATCAAAGGTGACGTCACGAGAGTGAAAGAAGCGGTGAGACGGCGGGTGGTAAAAGTGCCAGTCGGACGCGTCAAGGGGAAAACCGAGGAAGATGCAGGGAAGGGTGCGGGGAGTGAGCTTGTCCGTGCCGGAGGCACGGACGTGAGCAAGACAGCCCCAGACGTGGAACGCAGACGCGTCACCAGGAGACCCAGTCCAAAGACGGGTCGGCGAAACCTGCGGCTGCTGAGGGTGCGGCCACAGGTTAAGCTGGTGAGAAGCGTAGCGCACAGCGAACGGCCACAGAAAATGGGGTGCACCGGCATGGATCATGGAGGTGCGAGCCACCTCCATGACCAAACGGATGCGTCGCTCAGCGACCCCATTCTGCTGTGGGGAGTCTGGTAGGGTGAACGTCTGGGTGATGCCCTCCGCACGACAAAAGTGACCAAGGACACCTGAGGCAAACTCGCCACCACGGTCTGAGTGAAGACGCAAGACAGGGAGACCGCGGTGGACACGCGCAGAGAGAAGCCAAGGGATGAGAGCGCCAGGCACGTCGGCCTTGCGCTCCAGGGGAAAGACTGTGGTGTAGCGAGTGAATTCGTTGACAAGCACAAGTAAGTAGCGCTCTCGACGCGGCCCAGGGACAGGGGCGGGGCCCCATACGTCCAGGTGCAGGGTCTGCAACGGCGCGGCGGTAGGGGGAAACGAGGAGGAGTGAGGGGCACGGCGAAGCCGACCCTCGACACAAGGCGTGCAAGGTGGGGCTGGGGAGGAGGGAAACGCTGGGAGAGAACCTGGGAGACCAAGGACAAGACCGTGCTGGGGCATGTGACGCAGACGCGGGAGCGCAGGGTGACCTAGGCGGTGGTGCCAAAGGAGGGTCGGGTGAGTGAGGGACCGACAGGAGCAGGCGGCAGCAACCTGGGTGAGCGCTCCAGCCGGGGGGGTCACGGTTTCCAGAGTGAACAGGCCGGACACCGGGTCCCGGGGGAACGTGGACAGGGGGGCACCAGTGGCAGCCTCGGTACAGTCAGCATACCGCTCGTGACCAGGGAACGTAGTGGTGACGCCAAGGTCCTGGAGGCAGCCGACACCAACTAGGTTCCTGGAGAACGAGGGGATATGCAGACCTGTAAGAGAGCCCGAAGGAACCGCCGGACAGGGAAGGGTGGTGGAACTGCGGGCGACTACCGGACCGCCAGAGGGGTCAGCGAGAGAAACGGCAGCAGGGACGGGAAGCGGCGTCAGGGTGGTGGAGTCGTGGAAGAAACACCGAGAAGCGCCAGAGTCCAAGGTGAAGGAAAGCGAAGCAGAGGCGTCTGGCGACGGAATGACGGCGGAAGCACCAAGACTACACAAAGCAGAGGATCCTACGCCTGACGCAGCAGGGGAGGGTACACTAGGCACACCTACACTAGGCAACAGTGAGTAATAAGCGGGAAGCACACTAGAGTCATCAGCATACATCACATGCAGAGCAGAAACAATGGCATCCATGTCCATATCAAAGATCTGAATCTTACGACTAAGCAAACTGTACCAGGCCGGGAGGTCTGGCGACGGGCCGAAGCGCTGACGAAAGAGGTCGTCCAGGCGACGAAAACAGCGAGGAGTGGAGTGACCGAGCTTACCGCAAACGAAGCCCTGGCGAGGACCGGTCTGGATCTGGTACTGACAGCGCCCGCCGCCAGAGCTACCACTCGACACACCACCACGCGCTTGGCCACCGCCAGCGCCGGGCCACCCGGGCGGGAGGACACTCGTCTGTTGCGGCTGCAACGGCTGCGGCGGCTGCTGCGACGGCTGCGACTGCGGCGACTGCTGCGGCTGCTGCAACTGCAGGGGCGGCGGCTCAGCTGGACTGGGCTGGGTCCCCTCGT